CACAGGATTGTGTCATTTGAGGGCTGACTTAGCTGGAGGAACAGCTCAGGACTGATATTCACTGGATGCAATGTGACCTGTCACACTGGATTCAGCTTCAAAAAAGGTGACGACAAAAAGGGTTCAAATGCAAATCGGATGGCCTCATTTAAGATCAAGATTCATGTTTTCACATAATATACTGTACATTTTATTTGTATTTAATATATGACGCTGGTATTTGTATTTCTAATGTTTTTGAAATAAGTCACTTATGCTCACTAAGGCTGAATTTATTTGAAAAAAAAATGTATATATATATATATATAAAACAAAATTTTAAATATTTTTTTCTTATTATCGTTGAATAGTTGTGCTGCTTAATATTTTTGTGGAAACTATGATACATTTTTTCAGGATTCTTTGATTAATAGAAAGTTTAAAAGAACATCATTGTCATTTTTTTTTATTAATATAATGCTTCCATTCCTAATGAAAGAATTAATTTATTTCAAAAAATGCCAACAGCAGATTTTATTATTGTTGAAATCATGGCAATTTCCTTAAAGTGGTCATATGATGCTGCTAAAAAGAACAGTATTTGGTGTATTTGGTGTAATGAAATGTGTTTATGCGGTTTAAGGTTAAAAAAACATTATTTTCCACATACTGTACATTATTGTTTCTCCTCTATGCCCCGCCTTTCTGAAACGTGTCTATTTTTACAAAACTCATCGGTCTGAAAAAGCTAGGTGTGCTGTGATATATAAAAACTCTTTAAATATACTTACAGTCCGTGAGTCAAAACAGCCGGCATTGTAGCCTACTCTACCAGGATCAGTAAACAGTCCTGCATAAAATGTGCTGCACACATCTGAATATTTGGGTTGAAGTGTTCTGGAACAGTGTTGTAAATACAACTTAACCACTGATTTCTAGTCGTGTCCATTTTTGGAAGGCCAAACAAAGTAGTTTCGCTTTCACAACGAAACAGCGTCCCACACGGTGGCCTACAGTGAGCAGAGGCTGGGCGCTAGCGTGAGGAATGGCCGGAGGGTTAGATTGAGCAGAGGCGGGTGGGCTTGAGAACTGCGCGGCCGGTGATTTCGACGAAGGAGTGTTCAGAAGGACATGTGACGACTCCGGGCTGGACTCCGCTTCGTCCACGGTGAAAGCCGATCCGGCGATCCACAGCGCAAAGTTGTAGTATTTCCTCAGCAACCAGCACGGATCAGCTCCAGGCATGACGAAGCAGATATCATCCTCTTTTGGAAGACCAAACAAAGTAGTTTCGCTTTCACAACGAAGCACACAGTGTCTTCACGACATGGCTGCGGAAACAACAATACTACAGCGAGAATAAAAACTTCTTTCTTTGCGTGAACATTTGGGCGGCGTTATGCAAATCTTCCCACATAGTGACGTAGGTATGTGGGGGTGTGTTAGAACGAGCCATTTTAGAACCGCTGACTCTTAACTTTTATAAAGAATATCTCTTTGGATTTGAGACTTTAGTCTTTGCAACTGTCACGAATCCGGTCCATGAACTTCCATCTGCTAGCCATCAGAGGTCACCCTTTCCTATTTCATTGACTCTTGCAATGCACACTGTTGCACATCACCCCGGACTTCATATCCCATCATTCATTGCACTGATTGCACTCAGCACGGATTGCACACAGCTGTTAACACTGATTGCACCCAGCTGTTTCATATCACTCCCTCACTATTTAACACTCACTCTGATCCCTTCCCTCTGCCGAGTATTGTTTAGCGCCTATCTGTTGATAGCTACACTACAGAGCCCTCGTTAGCCTCCTAGCCTAGCCTAGCCTAGCCTAGCCTAGTATTGCCTTGCCTTGCCTTGCCTTGCCTTGCCTTGCCTTGCCTTGCCTTGCCTGTTTTCTCAGTTTCTGATCCTTGCCTGGTTTTCTGGATTTATCCCTTTAGTCTCACCCTCTTTGATTCTGTTCGCCGTTCGTTGACCTTCGCTAGCCCTAGGATTATTCTTGTGTCTTGCCCGCCATATACCTGTCTGCCATTATCTGACCCATGCCTGTTTTATGACCATGTCTCTGTCTTCTCCTAATAAAAAGCTTTGCATATGGATCCACACATCTCACATCTCGTCAGCCCCGTAACAGCGACTTTACAGATCTTCTTTATGCACCAAGAGCTTGTAACACTCCAAAGAGAAAGGAAAAATTGAAATCGCATCATATGACCCCTTTAAATGAAAGATGCACATATGATGTCATAATAATTAAAAGGTATTGTATATATTGTATGTAATATTATAATATTTTATGTCTATTAATTTATTTTACTGTTATATTGTATTATATTGTTAGAATCATTAAAATGGATAAACTGGGTGAATTCAAAAAGAGATTGATTTAAATAAACTAGAGTTCATGTAACATAAAAGCGATGAAGAAAGACATTAACACAGAATATATTCATGCTTTGTCTTTAATCACTTCATAGAAAAGTAGCTTCAGATTTTATTGAACACAATATACAATATTATTACCATACATTGTGTGAAACATTGAATATTCACCTGCAACAATGTGGGATAACCAGACGATAAAAACTCATCCCTCATGCAGATAGCACTAATTTTGTTGAATCCTTTTGGACGCAAATTGGGACCCTAAGATCTTAAACATAGATTAACAAAGTTATACTGACAATTTGAATTTCAAAACTGCTAACAAGCTCAGAAAATAGTTCACATTAGCACAAATAATTACAGAAGATCACATTTTCGTAATCATATCGATTTCACATTGTTGTTCAGAGATTGTGATGTTAGTGACCAATTCATCTCCTGTAAATGTGCCTTTACAGGCCACTTCTGAGCCATTTTTTAGCAATCTCCATTCAAAGTGTTGTATATATTTGAGGGCCACGTTCTGTGGAGATTCTCGTGAGATACTGATTTATCGATGTTACACCAAACAGTGATACACAAAGCTTCTAATATCTGACAGATGTCTACAGTATGCATTTATGTCTTATCTACAGACTCTCCCCGTTACCAATGGGTCGCGTGTCTCATAGGCTACTGTTCTGGGCAGTTGGAAATTGTGCAATATATTCATACATAGTATATATAATATATATTTATTTATATTAAAACAAACAATATTACTAAATAAAACAGACTCAGTCCAAGAGCCCACTACACAAGAAACACCACCAATTTTCGGTAATGCAAGTGCATATAAATTAATCCATTTACAAAGAAACATTATTTCTTATGTACAGTTAACGGTAATAAATACACTGTTATAAACAGTAGAGGACCAATCTGAGCGCATATAAACAAAGAGAATGGAAGGAGTTGT